ACATAAATTGTGGATGAAGACATTTGAAAAAATTCTCGCATCTAAAGTAAATTCATAAAATTGCATTAATTCTCTTAGAACAAAAACAAATTATTTTACATAATCACTCACTTTGTATATTCGTTCTCCAATCAAAATTTCTTAACGACGATTCATTTTTAGCTGCATATGGGATTTGGAAGCGAATAAGAAGACCACCGACTTCCCCGCGCACGCTGGAGACGTGGTCAGTATCAGTTTGGCCCCAGATATGAACACGTACATTACCGGATCCGTGGACAGAACGTGCAAGTTGTGGGACTTCAGAGACGAGACAGCCAAGCAAACATTCTTCGGACACGAGGCAGACGTAAACTCCGTTTGTGTAAGTGAAGAAACTAGAGTTTATCGTTACGCTGAAGTGATTTCTCGATACAAACATAAGTTTCGACCTCGTTTATGCAAAATAAAACATTTATTATATTAGTTTGATGGATGTGCGTTAGATGAACATTTGTTTGATCATTTAAACATTGAGATATCCATTCAGCTTTTGATATTCTGAATTATCTTATACATTAAACGCTACATTCATCATTTCTTCAGATTGAATTTTCATATAATTATTCACTGCATAATGAATAAAATGGAACGAAAATGACTGAGTAATGAAGAAATTGGGACTGAGGTAGCCTCGAAGAGTTTATATCAAGAAATCTCTGTGTGCTTAACAATAAATAATGTATCACGTCTGAAATTATTATTATTTGCACAGTTCCATCCGTCGGGTTACGCATTCGTAACAGCCTCTGAGGATAAAACGGCGAGATTGTGGGACTTGAGATCGGACCAACAGCTAGCCACGTACAAGCCACCAAATTCGAATCCTGGATTCACGTCCTGCGGCTTGTCCTTCAGCGGGAGATTTATATTCTGCGGAAGCGACGACAATTCAATTCATATATGGGATACTTTGAAAAATGCATACAATGGTAAGTGATATTAATCATTGAACTACCGATTTTTATGCAGAATGAAATATTTATTAGTTGAAAAAGTTAATTTATGAATTCGCAGTCTATCAAACTTCTAAGTCTTCTAAGCTTGACCAATTTTCGACACAAATGTCGTGTTGCCACAACTTTCTGTCGTACTATAGAAGAAATAAATACAGAATGCATAGACGTTTATCGGTTTGTTTCCATTGTATTATTCGTACGTATTTATAAATAGTGCACATAATATTCACAAAGGAAAAAAAATTGCGGCCTGCCATAGTTCGTAATTTGTGTGTCATTTTTCGTCAAAGAAATGCAACGAATTTGACAGAATAAGAAAGATATAGCTTTCTTCTAAGAGTATTAATAATGCTTTTTATTTGCGAATTCGAATTACTATGGAAGTTGCCCATTTAAAGACTCGCACAGCGCAGAACATGCTCCGCTCGCCCGCGTTTAATATATATACTCACTGTACAGTTCAATTTGAACGTGATTGACCCGACCTTAGAGCATACACTACTGGAGGCAGCTTCAGACCTCCAGACTGTTTAATTGTTTAGCCAAGCAAATAAGACGTCACCTCAAACATTTGCTTATTTGCCCAAAGCGACTTAAGCAAATACTTAAGAGGGTCTTGACACTAAGCAACGACTGTAAATACCGGCCCATATGTGTCTAAAATGTAAAAAAGCTGTAGAAAGAAAGAGGTATAATTGACAGACATACTGTCCTCATCTCACAGCATGGGATTGATCATAATCTTTCTCCTTCAACTCGAATTTCAATTCCCTTACTGACAAATATAGTTATATGGTTAAATAATATCCCGGTTTGTCATTATTAATGCTTATAAAACATGCCTAATTGCATGCCAAAATTGTAAAATACAAGAAGGTCACCATACTTGTGAGTAAAGTTTCTGAAATTCAAAGCAAGTTGAAGGAGAAAGGCAGCTGCGAGAAAAGGACAGCACGTCCGTCAATTTCTACGGCTTCTCTACACTTTATTAGATACATTTAGAAGCTGCCTCCAGTAGTATATGCTCCAAGGACCCGACGGACAATGTGAATTGGTTTTTAGTACGAGCATCTAGAAACTATTACTAGGTTCACACGATCCTAAACAGTGTATTGGAAAATATAGTTATTACACTCTCCCAAATATATTCGATTCATTTTATGGGAATTTGATTTTTCAATTCTCTACCGACAGCCCCGAGTCGTCACATACAATGGTGTTATTTTATTTCTACGTTAATACAGGTAACATGTTTCTTTATGCTGCAAAAAAGAAATAGAGAAAGATATACTGCATATATTTATATATATATAGAGAGAGAGAGAAATTTTTATCCGTCTTACTAGTACTTAAAGATTTGGTATCTATTAGGCGTAAAGCTTGAGGATTAAAGTGCTTCTTCTTTAATGTAGCGACGAACCTTCGGTGCAAATTTGTTCGACGTGATCCTCGTTGTCGCGAACCTAGGCCAGTGGCTACATTAAACGTGTGTAACATAATACTATACAGGGTGTCCAAAACTAGTGTAAGATATTGAAATGGGAGGTTCCTGACGTAATTTTAAACAACATTTCCCTTAGCGAAAAAGTTGCCCAAGGCGTGGTTGAGGAGTTATTAATGAAAAACCCCGACCAATCAGGGCGCTCGATTGGCGCGAGCGCCGAATCGGGAGCGTTGGCTCGGATTCGGACGCCCGGTCTATCAACAATGTATCATTTCCCCAACCATTCCATTTGAATAACGATTAAAT